GTATCTCCACCCAAGAATTCAGCGAGGTCACGTTCCAATGGGTCCCTGCCTACCTCTGTTGAATGTACTGGCTCACGGTGTTCTCCAACCGAAACCAAAGACAAGTTGCCCAACTGGTTGTATGGCACCAAGGAGTTCTCGACCACGAACGACCCCAACAACGTTATGGCACTTGTCGCATGTCAAGTTAAACTACACTAATCAATTGATTACAGTAACGTGTGCAATATAGACCTGCTTTTTCCACCCATGTCAGGAGTACTACGAAGTAAGACCTACGAAACAGTATGCCTTTGGTTGGGACGCAATTCTACTTTGTAGGCAGAACCGGCTCTCTTGTTCCACTTTGTAGGCAGAATTTACTGTTAGCACAACTTGAGTTCCGACATACTCCGCAGTACTAGTACTAGTATAGTATACTATTAATACTATGGAATCCATTTCTACTATTAATTAATACCTAAAATATCTGCCAATTATAGGTTGTGCTGCACAATACCTCTTTTGTACAAGTTGGGCTATTTCTGCCGACAAAGACAAACAAGAGAGTCGGTTCAAGCCAAGACGCATTACGCCTCGATCTTCTTATTTACTAATTGATCTGTGTAGTTTAAGGGAGTGTCTGGTAACCGGAAATATTGCAATGTTCAGGCCCAAAACGCCATTTTGGTTGGGGGCGAATTCAACAAATATGATCAAAATTGAAATTTGTCTTCCTTGAAGAGTTTTAACCCAAATAATCCAATACGTCCACGTGGGATTTACTCGTTGAAGAGGTCCAATTACAAAATGGGCCTTGTACCTCCATTTTGAAAATAGCATTTTGGTTAGTCCCATTTTGCGAGAAAATGGAATATTACTCTTGAAATGTTATCAGACGCACCCTAACTTGACGTGCGACAAGTGTCATAACGTTAACGCGTACTGTACCTAGAACCAGTCATCGAGTATGGCTTGGTCGTTCAATTCTTCTTTGATATTATAAAACAACTCACACAAAGGCGTTGTCAGCCCTTTTTCATTTCTCGTTTTCACTTATTGCCATGAAGTTCCTTGCTGCTCTCGTCCACGCCGCCGTCGCCGCCTCGTCCCATGTGGGGGCTGGCCCACTTGCGCTGGTGTTTGACAGTCTTGCGCACCGGGATGCCGAGGGCCAACCCATCTTTGTCCCAAAACTTGGGAGTTCAATTCTGCAGCCCCCCGGTGGCAGAAGGTTGTGATACCGCTTCTGGCAGTGGAGACATCGACTGCCCCACTGGACTGAAACTTGAATGTGTCAACTTTACCGTCCGCACGATGCACCTTCCCACCAACGCGTCGATATGGTTGCAAGCTGACATGTACCCTTTGTCGAAAGTAACCAATATCCCCCTATTTTTTCACGTGTCCCCCCTTTCAAACCAATATATATTGGCTTGCCCAAGTGTAAAGAGTCCTGCGGCAACCCCCCGCGTATCCCCATCCAAGAATTCGCTGAAGAGGTCACGTTTCAATGGACTCCCCGTCCCCTATTGTACTTCAGCCCAACACCACGTACTCGTTCACGGTGTTCTCGAACGGCGAAACCTTGGACGAATCCCCCATCTCGTTGGAGGGCGCGAAGGCGTTCACGACCACGAACGACCCCAACGCTGACGTACGGCTCGGGTACACTTACTATCCAGGGAAAGAATGGTGGCCGCGACACTTGCGGGATGGCCGCAAAGTGCCGTCGCTCCAAGTGTATACTAGCTAAACTAGTTGGATGTGGGGTGGTGACGTGAACTTTGAGCTGCTTGGTGTGGGTACTACGTAGTAAGTAGCATCTCGGAAAAAGTATCGCTCCAGTAAAAAAGAACAGAGGGAGAGTACTGGACTAATAGGAATCTGATTATAAATCTACGATATGTTACATGAAGTTGCACTCATCGAATCCCAGGAGATGAGACAATGGTACACCATGGACAATGACCAACTTTCTCAGTCATTTGTAGCGACTGTGTCGGTAACACCTAATGCGTTCGATCACATCTTCCATTACTTTAAGCACGAGTATGTTGTGCTCTCACGACCTGGTAAGAGTGGTCACCCTCCTCGCATACCAAAGAAGCACGCGGTACTAGCGATGCTACTGCACTTTTACACAGCCAAAAGGCAATACCTCTTGGACGTGGTCGAGCAAGAGATCAATCGACGCCGCACACCAACGCTTGCTTTCGATATGGGCTCTTTGGAAGTCGAAACGGGACATCCACGAACGTTGGTGGGAACGTGAAGTCCAAATCGTTGGTTTACCTCTTAATATTTGTATCAATAATCAAAGTAATTTTGTGCGATGATG